GAAAAGTCTCAAAATGGTGAGCAGTAGAAAAATGTTGAACATCTTATTTATAATCAAGAATCTCATTCCTAGACAAAAGTCCTGAGGACAGAAGAACTCGCGATCCCAGTGGCGTGGCGTGAGTTGCGAGAAATCGATTGTTATGCCATTTAAATCCACGGTAAAAAATCGATTATTAAGGTGTTCGCTACGAACACCCTGTTTATCGATCCTTTCCCATAGGTTTAAATGGCCGATAAATCGATATATCGCAAAGCACGCCACGCCACTGCACAAGCCGTCCATTTTTATCATTTATTCCGGTAGAAATAACGTTGAATCAATAAGAAACTCAATGAAACACATCTACACCGAAACACACTCGTTCATCATATGTATGAACTGATATTAATCAAAATTAATCATTTATTGTCTCAAACTGTGCTTTTTGCTAAGTCCTGACGACGGCTGAGGCCGAAAAGCTTCGACTATTAAGTTCCTGAATTTCAAGTTAACGTGAGCTAACAGTTTATTTTAACCCATAGCATTGGCTACCCAACAAACCAAAAATTACACAAAAACTACTACCATAATGTTGTAAATCAACACTTTCAATACAAATTATCATTGAAAGAGCAAAATTGACCAAGACAGATTCTAAATATTAGTCGTAAAACAGTAACCTCAGGCGGAATTTTTTTCGTTTTGCAAAACAACCTCTGGTATAGCAATAATGAAAGGTTTGGTGGTTCACTTGCCTCGGCACAGTAAAACTAAACTTAAGAGAGCTCATCGTTTCCCGCGTGAAAGAACTTCATTTCAATGTTGCCAAATGTCTCCTCGCAAATTGCATATTAAGTAGGAGGATCTTGAACTTTCCTAACTGGAAATTTCATTGATAATTTTCCCCGAGATTTCATGCAAAATTAAATAAAAAATTACACAGGCACATTTTCATTAATTTGTTTTACAAAGTTGTGCCTGAAAATTGCACAGGCATAACTTTGTAAAATAAATTAATTGTTTGGGTCAATTTGGTGACTTTGGAATGGAGTTACATTCCTTCGTACGGGAGACAAGTTTTACATTTAAACGTCTGGTCGGTTCTACTTATATGTGACAGACGAGGGTTAAATGGACTACATTTTGCAATTAGGAACTAAAATGTCTGGCTCATCCTTAAAAACACTTTTGTGCATCGGGAAACTAATGGCTCATAAGTTATTTCTAAACTGAGTCGGAAATTATAGTTCCCAATTGCAAAATGTGGTCCAAATGAGTCTGGAGGCTATTGGAGCGGAGGAAAACTTATTATTCATGTGGAAGCTACCTTTCATAACAATATGCCGGGCCCCTTTTACCAGTGACCAGATCTGTAAGAAGAGACCTATCTTTCTGAGGACAAAATTCCTTTACTCAGGAATTTTGATCCTAAATCTCAAAAACTGTCGTGAAGCTTGAAGACAAAAATTCCTAGGTTGTAGAAAAATGTTGTTTGTGTGTTCGCAAAAAGTTAAGAACAATTTTCTCCCGGAGGAGAGGCTCTTTTTACACAGATCCACACACAAATGGACTGCATTTTGCAATTGAGCACTAAAATTTGTGTCTCAAGTTTAGAAACAACGTAAGTACTCATATTATCATATGCACATAAGTGTTTTTATAGATGAGCCAGAAATTGTAGCTCCGAATTTAAAAATTTAGTTCAAATTAAGTAACATTGACTCAGACCGCTCTCGGCGCTCTCTGCTCAATCTTCACCAGATTGAAGGCAAGAAGGAAGTAAAGCAGTCGATAACCTAACAAGGTTTAACAGTTAATTTCCACCACGACGCACTTTTAGACCCCGGCTCGTCAAAAATTCTTCCAAAGACACGAGGCACTCTGGAAATTCATGAATGATCATCCAAAATTGTTACATATTGTTACTTTGCTCTATGATGACCCATGTCTCCAGTAAAAATCTTAGCTTGAGGATACGTCTGGTTTTAGAAATACAGCGCTGACAAGTTTCCATATTTAAGCTTTAAAGATTTTCGTATTATCAAGTATCTTACTTTCTGTAAACAACTGTCATTGGATGTTTCATGATATTTTGAGACATTTTATCAACAGTCAGTGTACATTTTTCTAAAAAAATACGTTGATAATAAATAATTTTTCTACGTTAATGCTGTTAATTCTGTTGATACAACGTTGCAAACTTGACTTCACAGACCCATAAAAATGCTCATTTTGTTCCGTTTTTTAATTAAAAAACGAACTTATTGACCACCTAAAGGTATGATAATGTGGTTTAGCTGAAATTCTACGATAAGATTAGTCTTGTGCAAAAGTTTTACCGCGAGTGCAAGTATAGATTTAACGATACAGCGTTGCAAAGTTTATGTATATAAGCTTTAAAAACGTTTTTATTTTTAAGTTCAGTGTTTGTTAGTTTTTTTTTTTTTTTTTTTTTTTTTTTTTTTTTTTTTT